TCTCGGGTGAGCTTCTGGATCCGGGCTGGCCCCTATCGTACAATGTCCTGGATTGCATGCTAAATGCCTGTGATTGGCAAGATCCGCCTTCCTGGCCCCTTTGAAGCCCCTCAAAATTTAGCTGTGGGATTGAGGATCACGCTTCGCATAAAGCTCGTCCACACCTCATCGTCGTCATTGGCCACACGGGGTGCGTAAGCTTAGGGATGGGATGAATGTGTCCTAAGCTAAAGTATGCTGGGGACTACTAAAATGAGACGATCGTTTGTGGAGAGATTCCAATTCAGAGCAGCGCCCATCCCTCTTCGCTGTCCAGCATTCTGACAACTTCAGGAATGCCTGCACAGACACACACACACACACGTACACACACACACACACACATACACACACCCACGCCGAGGGTTCTGACTAATGCAGGCCATTGCCCCCCCGGAATTCACCGTTTTATGGCTTAGGCGCGCTTTTCATGTGCCATGGAGCATCGTTTCGCTGCGCGGCGTCCGAGAGCGCGCTTCTCTTCGCTGTGCTGCTGATTTATGCGGCGGCTGCAATTGGTGCTCATTATAAAATGCTCGATTTTGCGTTTCAGGTGTCATTTGGCGGATTGCGCAGCAGCAGCAGCAGCAGTATGGCACCGCCTGCGGGACAGTCCAGCAGTCAACCGTTGCCGTCCAAAGAGCTGACACTTTTCCGCAAAGTTGTCGTATGTCTTTTCCCAGCATTTATGTAAAGCAGTGCATGTTAACGATACATTTTTACCCGTTTTTATTACATATTTATACAAATGCAAAATGCATATTAACAGTATTATCGAACTCTGTTTGTGTGTGTATATTCGCACTTCTTTCATTAATTTTCAACTTAACAACCAGTGAAGCTAGGAAGCTGAAATTTCCAGGGCTTGCCCTCACCCCATATGCAATCTCCCTTTTTTGTTTACGTATGCCTGGTTCATGTACAGGCGGCTAAAGAGGAATTTATGTGAATTTTTTGTCAAGGAAACGATTGAAATTTCACAGCAATATTCTTTGTTGTTGTTTGAGCAAAAAATTTCGCACTGTCTTCAACGCTTCCCCCC